AAAGCCAAACCCTGTTTTTTTTTTCTAAATCTAACCATGTGCTTTTGTTGCCAAAACCCAACTATGTGTGTTTGCTGTTGAAGGGGGAAAAAACTCAATTGGCGTTGTTATACTGACGTAGTGCTTTTATTTTGAAAGAGACTGTATGTAAATGTTAAATTTCTTGTGAAAAGGGAAGTGTATTTTGCATGTATGTCTTGACTTGACACGGCGTCCAAGAACCTTATCAACAAATGCACCCAGGGTACCTTGCACATCATATCTGGACGTGAAAGATCCATGACTAAACGCCCATATGTGATGAGTTTGGAGTGAGAATGTGTCGAAGAAGTCCCTATAAGGTTGGGGGGAGGGATGGTGGATGTGTCAAGCAAGCACAGGACTTTCACCCAGAAGACCTGAAGTTACTGTTGACTTCTTTAAATAACAACGTAGGCTGTAGGCTAGCATGTATAGCATACTACACTACTGACTGATGTGACGTCTGTCACATGACACACGTTATGTTATGTTAGTAACAAAAGTACTAATTTAAGGCCAAACCATGATTTTTTATTTCTAAACCTAACCACAATTTGTCATGGTGTAATTGCGACTGATCATAATGTTAAATGTCTCAAACTGTGACTGAGGGAGTAAATATAGACAGTGCAGGCAGTGCAGTTGCACTGGGGCCCTTGGGGTGGAGGGGCCCATAGAGAGAGCAGGCCCTTCCAAGTGATTCAGATTGCCACCTTGTATATATGCCTGTGTTCAAAGAGGAATGATAAAAAAGAATGATCCTAATTTAAGAATGATGCCATTTGTTATATACGTCCTCAAAAAGGCAAATCCACCTATGTCATGGTTTAAATAGAAGCTATCTCAAACAAAATTATATGCTTTTTTTCACATAAGCTATAAAATCTAAAAATAAACTATAAAAACTATTCAATTAAATGTTTTTTTTTTACTTTCTTTGATATTTTTTATCAGATATGCAGTGAAGATTGCTGGGTAATATGTATCTTAATGTTGTCCAATGTCAAGTCTCAATTTGTGTCAAGACAATATGTGCAAGATGGCGTGCCAACTGTAATTTCCTCATGTCAGTGACAGTGACCATCAGGATGAATATATATTTCATTTAAGTATGAGTGAGTTTATATGAGTTGTTAGCAATTTCGTGAAAGAGACATTTCCAATCTAAACTCTCAAGGAGGTTAAATAAGCAATTACTTCACAAAAAGATTAGAGAAAGTCGAAATGAAAAAAACAATTCGTATGGAAGAACTTAATTTTTTTTCTTTTTTCCTGCCACTTTAATCATCTCATGTCCCCTCAGATTCATCTTGTGACACCGTGGAAGGGCCCAACTCCTAGGCTGAGCACTACTAGACAAAAATATGTGAAAATATATGTGCTTCCAACTAAAAATGGGCAATAATGTTAACAATCAGTTTATATACTGCTGAAAAAGAGGTTAAACTTAAGTGTGAACTATAATTTTAATTAAAGGAAATCAAACCCGTCCCGATATGGAAATAGCAGTTTAACTAAATAACTTAGTGACTTTTTTTGGAGGTTGGAGGTTTCAGTTGCATCTTAAAGTCTGCTCAGTTTTTGTTTTGTTGTCTTTAGAGATTTAGCTAATAAAGACAATAAAAGCTCTGGCAGAAGCTAGTGAGTGGGCTGGATGATAGTAGTCAGATAGCCATTATTGTACTGTATATCTTCAGTCGATGAGAAACAATAACAGAATGGAAAATGGATAATATAAGACAGACTTTGCCACACTTTTATGTGAAAATAAAATTCTGCAGTCTCCTGAGAGAGCGGTTTGATTTTCCACAGACTTGAGAAGAAACCACACTTTATAAACTATAGAAACTAGCTGAGCGAATGGCTGACATTCAGGAGGCAGTATATGGTCCTATTATAGGTAGAACAGTACAAGGCGTAATAGTGGTACACATTAAAAAATGGCTTCAGTATAGAATGATGAATGCGCCTGTGGAGCCCACCAAATCCTCCCAGCGGCTCTCGGGGCCATATATCCTCACGCCGTCAGCCCCAAATTATAAATCAAACTTCTCGCAGGTCCATGTGATTCATTACAATTTATCGACAATAATTTACAGAAGTGGTTTTCAGATGCTTTTAACTTTGCAGTGGCAGTAATTTACAAACCCCGTGGAAAAAAAAGAAAGAAGAAAACAACAGTGCTGTATTTTTTCTCCTTGACTGGCAGTGCAGTCGCTGAGCAATATGGAGGGGTAAAAAATTAGATCGTTGATGAAGGCTCATTGATTCACATGCTTGATGTTCTTGGAAAGGCAAAAAGATGACACTGAAGAATTTGCTTCGGGCTGCCTTCTGAGCGTCTTGCTACAGAGGTACTCTGACTCAGATCCAATGCAAAAATGTGATAATGATTTCAGCAAAAACACACCCAAGGCAAACAACTAACAGACAGCACAAAGTACATATCAGACTACTTCTTCATACCACCAAAGCTCTTCTCATGCAATCAAAACACCAGCAGACACTGCACACAATGTAAAGACAACTTAATGACAGTATTATAAAGACTTAATGATATTGTTATATATATATATATATATAGCTATATTACTGATTGCAGTGCCATGCAGAGATAGTGTCACTAATGTTTGTGTCAAATCTGTAACCTAAGGCTCGCTCTCAGGGAGGACTTTCCCACATCTGACATGATATTTGGATTTTACATCATAACCTGTGTAAGTGTTCATTACGCCCTGCTCCTCCAAAGGTACTGCAGATCAGAGGCTATTTCTGGGACCGTGTGACAGTGATGATGTTGACAGCAATCGCCTTCCCACATCACAGCCACCGCAAAGGTCAGACCAAATGAGAGGGATGTGTAAGCAAAGCCTGTCCTCCTGCCTCAGCCTGATCTGGCCTCAGGCACTCAGGCTGATGAGGCCTAAACATCAGCACAGGGTCATTATTTCAACTAGAGAAGCACTTAACTTCTTTACTCCCCGTCTCTGAGGACACTGCTGCAGCAAGGTGGGCGACGGGGAGAAAGAGAGGGGGGAGGGCAAAGCGTCGGGGTTTGTCCCCAAAGTATACAGAGCAACTTTTTTTTTTCTTCCTCCCTCGTCTCTTGGTGAATGTAATTCCTGCACGCCCTGTGTGAATTAATTAATTACAAAGCTGGCTGGGTATCAAAGGTAAATGATTTAATTATATTCCCTGCGTCTTTGTTAAGAAGCCAACTGTCAGGCAGTGGTAAGTGGGGCTGTGGCCCTCTGTGGCGCCTGAGGGGTATGTGTGAATGTGTGTGTGTGTGGGTGAGTGTGTGTTTGTATGTTTGTGTTTCTGGGTGTGTGTCTTTATACATGAAAAAAGATTTTGAAAAAAGAGCGGGAGAGAGTGTATCTATGTTTACTTTATAGAAGAGACTTGTGGCGGTGTATTCAATGGTTTGAGACTGTCATCAAGAGAAAAACTAAAGAATATGTCACTTCTTCAAACACTTGCAATGATATGTTTTACATGTTTACAGACAGTTCTTTGTCATAATGAAAAGGCAGAGGCAGCATGACACTGTCATAGCGTGAAACCTCTTGGGTGGAGTTTGGGTGTACCAAGGGACTGCCTATAACACCACAGGTCGAACATCTTACCAACAGTCAACATTGGTTTCTTGTAACCACGACCACAGTCTTTTCTAACCATTACCGAGCATTTTAGTTGCCTAAACTTAACCAGACCTTAAAGGAGCAATATGCAAAACTCAGAGTCTGAGGCGGGATTGCCTGCACATGGCTCAGACTCTGATGAGAGCAGTGCAGGCAAGCAAACATGGAGGTGGCTGAGCCGAAACGTCGGCAGCTAGCACTAACACTGCTAACAGCGCTAACAGTGCTATAACAGCAACAATGCTGCCAGAGCTAACCTTGTTAACCTGGTGGGGGAACCAGAGAGTGGGTGTTAGGCTTCAGCAAGGACACCATATAAGTGCAGTGATTAGCTAGCCAGTGGGACACACACAGGGACTTACATGCACATGCAATCGGCACGGCTCCTACAACAAGCCACAGAGAAGCTCAGATTACAACACGCACAGAGGGAGTGTGACTTTATTTTCTGCTCAGGGTGTCATTACTCTTCTGTGGCAAATAGTTGTTTGCTCCTTAAAGGGATAGTGCACCCAAAAATGAAAATTCAGCCATTATCTACTCACCCTCATGCCGAGGGAGGCTCTGGTGAAGTTTTAGAGTCCTCACAACACTTGCGGAGATCCAAGGGGGGAGTGGGTAGCAGCACAACTGCACACCTAATGCGCAAGACCGTGAGGCATGGGCACCACCTTCATGTGTGTTCACGTGCTTTCACTGGTCTCTCACGCAAGTGCGCATACGTGAGCGCGGCCCACAGAGAGGCAGTTAGAGCTGCAGGCTACAATGAGGCTAAAAACAGAGTTCAAATGATGTTTTTCCAAACAACTTTTTATGTCGGGGCTTGGCACAATTTACCATGGTTACATTTCTCCAACTGGCATGAAGGCTCCCAAGAAGTGTCTAAAAAGATACCTACTACAGTTTATTCACATAAAAGTTTGTTAAAAGATATTACACATATTGCGTATTCAGTGCATAGTGTGCAATTTCAGACACGGCAATGACTTGTTAAGTGGGGAGCCTTTGTCACACTGTACATAAGGTCATTTCAAGCTAGTTTAACGTCATATTTAATAAAATACAGTAAATGTTAAAAGTAAAATATCAGTTTATAGAGGGCAGATAGGTCCCACAATGACATAAATGCCATTCAAATGTCACGCATGTTCAAACAAACAAATGTACCTACAGTACCAGCTCACAAAGCGTACAAATGACACCTCTGAGCAGACTCACACATGTACAAGTGTTTTGTTTGTTCAGCACTACAGGAGAAATAATTCAGCAGTTGAATTATCCTCTTCTGGATTAATCTATAAATCTGCTGTGGATGATAACATATTAATGACCTACTGTTTCAGACGTCTTGTTCATGGGAGATGAGAGCTTCACCTTGTCGACCACGGAGTCAACACTTCAGGAGGATTTTTAGTGACAAAGAGTCTGAAAAACACACACAGACAGAAGGAGAAGATTATGTTGTGTCTTCAGACCAGCAGTTTATAAAGAGGATAAAGCTTTTATAATGTGGGGATAAACAGTGACACACATCAGTAGATCTTGATTTTTATCTAGCGGAGATGCTCCTGTGATGTCACAGATCACTGTATCGAGAAAATGACTAACAACGGGAGACATGCTCTTAATGAAAAAACTGCGTTACAAAAAAAAATCCTCTTATTCATATGGCTGAATAATTGCTGAAGAAGCAGGGCCCTGCATTGGAGATAAATAGAGCTGTTCCTGTGGTTTTGTCACCGCACAAAGAAGCTGTTTATAGCACAGAGGCCTCGGATAAACCATTTTCTGGCCAAACAAGGTAAATGAAGCATAATTGGAAGCCCATTACCAAATTGAAAAACGGGTGCCTTTTGTTTTAACTGTGTTAGAATCGAACTGGGGGCTCCTCTCCCACTCTGTAAACCTGCATCAAACTGCAGGGCTCAATAATTATAATGTTCAGGATCCTTCTGAGGGGCGAAGAAAATCAATAGACTAAGGACAAAGAACCTATAGCCATCACTTAATTCTCTTATCACTGTGATTTAGGGGAAGAGGAGGATGTTAAATAACTGTAAATCTTCAGCTATGACTTTGAGGGTGCTTTATGGCAGTTCTTACAGCGTCTCCCAGACAGAATGTCCATACCTTCCGCAGACCACACAATTTATAGCTTTATTACCCTTTGTCTTAAAGAGCAGGGAGACATAGCAGGGAGGAAGGAGATAACAGCCCAGCACAGGGGCGGTTGGGGGGGGAAAAAAAAAGTCGGATGCCATCATCGACAGAGACATATCTCTGTGACAGGTTTACGGCTCAGGAGCAGGGCTTCTATTCGGGGGTGGAAGACGAGAAAAGAGTGGGTGTCCTCCTCTACCCCACAGCCCCTCCTTTACCTCCCACCTGTGCATCCCAAACATCCCAAATATCCCCAAACTGCAGCACGTGGAAACCCTGCCCCCTGTGGAGGAAGCAAAATTCAATTTCTGACTTATCCCCTGATGATCAGATTTACTCTGCTGTTTAGTCGCCTCCACACCGCCGCTGCCACCCTGCCACCACCCCTTCCTAGAGGTCACAGGGAGGACTGACACAGGGGGAGGGGTGAGGAGAGGGAGGGCTGACAGAAGGAGGGAGGCGGAGCGCCTTTTCACCACAGAGTCATGAGTTCCTCCGGACCGGGCAGATGCTTCCTCATATTTTCTTGCTGCACTGACAAGTGGCTTATTGTTTCCCTTGATAAGGGTACAGTGTTCCCGGTAATGGGAATTAGAGGGAGGCGTAAGTCACCGAGACACAGGGTGAGACTGAGTCAATAGATAATGGGAGATCTCTCATGGATGCAAAAGGCACGGTTATTATCAGCGCTGTTTAAAAGAGCAAGGCCTCTTATTTGTCTTCAAGCTACACTCATGGGTAGTGTGAAGGCTGGAAATCAAAGTTACACTTTGCTTGAACCCTGTGAAAACAGTTTCACAGCGCTTCCAGACAAATGCCCCCCAACACCATGTTCCAAAGCGTGTCAACTCATGACGACTGAACGTTCAGTGACTTAATGAACAAAACCTTTATACTGTGTGAATGGAAAGAAAGCTGGATCTTGATTTATGTGTGGTTTCTCAGTGATTCTGCTTTTTTCTACTAATGTAAGATGACACACTCACAGAGGTTTAGTTTTTTGGTTAGCAGGGTGTCACAAAGCCTCTTCAAGGAACTTAATTAGAAATTTGGGTGAGGCCATGACTGGAAAGGGATTTGTTTTTGGAGGATTAAAAAAAAAAAAAAAAAAAAAAAAAAAAAAAGATGCACTGATGTCGTAAAATAGGGCATTTTTAAACTTTTTATAATGAAGTACGGTACTGAAATCTGGCACATGTAACTAAAGATCGTCCATCGTTCTCTGTTTACTTTAGGTTAATGCAGAGATCTAGAAGTAGATATGCAATGTGCAATGAAGTATGTGCTATAAACCTGCATTAATTTATTTTTTTGGCTGCTTGGAGGCCAGGGAACAAGTTGTGACAGGCCAGTCATCAGAATAAATCGTTGGTATTGTACGTTTCTGCAAACCACAGATGTGTTCTGTCTGAGCTAGCATACATGTGTTAAATTTGAAATATTGTTTTCTTTGCTTTAAGAGTGAAATTTTAAAAATGAATAAATACATTTCCCTATCTATTTTGCGTGACAGAGTAGTTAGGTTTAGCTTGACGGACCCGTCTAACATTAAAGGGATTTTGCACCCAAAAATGAAAATTCAGCCATTATCTACTCACCCATATGTCGATGGAGGCTCAGGTGAAGTTTTAGAGTCCTCACAACACTTGCGGAGATCCCAGGAGAGAGGGGGTAGCAACTTTTTATGTCGGGGCTTCAGGACACTTGGATCACTACGGACAAGCAGTATGGAGATATTTTGTGGTTTCAATTATGTGTTTTTGGACGTTTTAATCTGGGGTGCCAAGCCTCCATTAGGTGGAGTTGTGCTGCTGTGCTGAAGATTTAAAGCAACAGTACATTTTTCATTGACAAAAAGTAAGTGTGATGGGGTGGTAGGTCAAACTACGGGACACACACAAATCATAACTTTTTTAACAAAAAATAATGTTTTTAATTTGAATGAATATACTTTATGTTAATAGCAATATACATATAATCCTGAAAATAAAAAAATATATATTTATAAAATAAGATTTTTTTTGTTAATATGTTAGATGCAAATTCCACGTTGGCCAATTAGGACAGAATGACCATGTACTAATTGAAAATGATTAAAAATAGAATAATATTTTGTAAGAAAAGCATTTTCTCAGATATTATGTAATTAAGAATACTTCAATTAATAGCTTTAACCTTGGAAATACACTTTGACACATGTTTTACGCCCTATGAATCCCATCAAATGTTGCGGACCCAAATGGCACCCGTTTCACGTAGTTGAGCCCACATGTATTGCTGAGTTTCTCATCAAAAGTAGGAGGAGCAGGTGGATAGTGCCACATCTCAATGGCTGCCAGGCAGCAGACAGCAGCAGACGTGGGTGTGGGTATTTTTTAATAACATGTCCAGCCGTGTTTGTGGCGACCAAATGGGGTATTTTAAGCCAAAACATGTTTTCCTAACCCTAACCCAGTGGTTTTCCTGCCTAAACCTAACCACATGTTAATCATAGCGTTGTCGCAACATAAAATTGAAAATTGAAAAATAAAGTTCCAATATATCCGCTACATATGAAACATGTTAAACATATCCATGGTTTGCAGAAACGTACAATGCCAACATTTACTCTGGTGACTGTGTTAGTGGTCGACACAACGCTGACGTATCATCAGTTTTATGTCCATACGGCGTGCAAACAGCTGCCTGTAATTCATCGGCTACAGAGCAATATCAACATTCATTTTCAATTGTGTTTCTGGTCACAAGATAAATCAGCTGTGGGGCGGCTGTGGCTCAGGAGGTAGAGCAGATCATCCACTAATCAGACGATCAGCGGTTCAATCCAGCCTCCAGCCTGCATGTCGACGTATGTGTCGAAGTCCAAGTGTCGAAGACCAAGATACTGAACCCCAAATTGCTCCTTATGGCTGTTCCATCGGTGTGTGAGTGAATCAAGGTGTGAGTACTCTCGACCACAAGTGTATGAATGTGTGTGTGAATGGGTGAATGTGCCAAGTGCAGGTCCATTTACTAACCTCTGAGGGAAATATCTGGCTCTCCAGCAGCCACAATGCTCACCAGCTAGTTGCTAAATTTCTCTGTCTGCAGTGTGAGTGGAACAGCTGACACCTCTCATATTCACATTTATCTATTAATAATAATACATATTGATGACCTACTGTTTCACTCGCCTTGTTCATGGGAGATGAGAGCTTCACCTTGTCGACCACGGAGTCAGCACTTCAGGAGGATGATGTTTCTAATGACACAGTGTCTGAAAAACACACACAGGCAGAAGGAGGTTATGGTGTGTCTTCAGATCAGAGGATAAAGCCGACACCTCTCACATTCACATTTATCCTTTACTAATATAAACATATTGATTATAGCAATTTCAAACAAGTGAAAAGATAGTTACATAACAAAATAGGTGGTTATTATAAAGCACAGATGGCAAACCAAATGTGGTAAAGCTAATAAAAACATGTAAAAGTCATTGCTGAACCTTTACACTGAGCACTAAGCTGGATTACAAGGAAAGCAGACCTAAACACAGTAAACACAGTGTGACCCAGGTACTGCCCGTCTCCCCAAACAATGCCGACATCAAAGGGAGAGTCTGTATTCTCCTGCTTGATAAGTTATTGTCAACAGCTGCTCAGAAAATGACTATTTGCCAGAACCTCACACTGAACAGCAGACAGGAAGTCAACAAAACAATGGTCCCCTCAAGTGATAAACACAAATGTTTGATGGCTCAGACTTCAAAACCAACAGCAAATCTATAATAACTTCCCTTTCTGGAGAAAAAACAAACCTGCTGAAACTTCTCGGACTGTTTCTTCAGCATTTGGGGAAACACAGAGGGAAAAATGCACACTTACATAGCCTCAGAGAGTGATTTGTGGTTGTGTATTGAGAAGCTTGGATCCTGCACCATACAACATGGTCAGTGAGCAGAGCAGCAGTAAGGGTGTCCTCCTCCTGACAGCTCCCCCTAGGGCCCTGGAATACATTAACCACTGTGGTCCACAGGGGTGTTGGGAATAATTACTCACTCCTGCCATGTGACACCCTCGATAAATTAAACTCCCCTTTAAGTTTTAAAGGCAAATGCATATTGTGGCCATCACTTAGAGGCTGGCCTGTCCGTGCTTTTGCATAATTTGTTGTAACAATGTGTCGCCGCAACTTGGTAACTTGACCCAGCAGCTGACTACAGATGAGTGAGCAATGTGCCGATGAAGTCGGAGCACGGAGAGGAAGTGTGGAGAAAAATTGCATTAAAGTCTCCGTGTATGTGTCTTCATAATTAATAAATTCTAGCCCATCAAGTTGTGATCTAATTATGAAGTATCTGCCGTGAATCATTTCTGCACTTTGTTAGCTAAATTGGGGGAAAGAAGCCAGACACATTATTGAGATTTAAATGATTTTTTCTTTTGTGAAAAGCTCAGGAAAAGTTAGTGGCCTAATGCAAAATGATTGTTAAACCCCTGTAGCTAATGGCTTTAAAGGAAATGTAATTATGATTTAATAATTGACAAATTAAGCCCGGGGAGCTTACATTTTTTGGCAATGGCCGTGATCCATAAAATCAGTTTTTCTAACAGCTGCATGTCTAAAAGAGGTAATTACATTCTCTGTAAACACATATAAAACCTGAGCAAATACACCCAGCAGACGGCTGCGGATTAGGGGTGAGATGGAGATGTCATCCCGTCCTCCCGATGGCACATCTGGAAGATAACTCTGGAAAATGCAGCTGGTGATAGGTTCTTTCAATAAAAAGTCTCCAAATAAATTTCCACTGTGCAAAAGTTGCTACAGCAGTGACAACCCAAAGACAAACTCACAGAGCTGTGCCGAGGAACGTCAGCACCTCCGCTCAACAAAAACACGACGACCTCGAAAACTAATTACATGTCACGCTGAGTTTATGCCGAGATTACTTGCTTCAGTATAATATCATCTTATTTATGGAACACTCTGGAAACAAGGAAATCACTTTTCAATTTTTTTTTCAGCGTGTGTGGATTGTTTTTGTTTTTGCAGCGCTGACATGGAACAATACAGAAACATTTGTGAACATCCATGCCAGTTTTCCGGAGCAGAAAGACTTTACCTCAAGCCTTCCTCCTCCTCCTCTTCTGTCCAATGAGGACCCTGACAATTCCCGTCTTATTAGACTCCTTGGAGCCAATGTTCTGTCATTACACAAAGAGCCCAGCAGCTTCAAGTTGAGTGAAACTTTATATTTCCCTTCTGTCTGTGCTCTTTTCAACATGCACTAATGATCTCGATGAGCAACACGTACGCCGTTGAGACAGAGTGCGGGCGAGAAAGGGAGACGCGGAGCAGATATAGAAACCAAATGCAATGTGTAAGATGTGTAACGTGATTAGTCGAGTCCCCAACCGAGGCCTTCACTCAAAGACGGCAACGGTAAAGATCACAAGACACATTAAGAGACACTCCGTCATGATGTGAAAGAACATCTGAGTTCTCAGCTGCCGCCATTCATTTTCATAATGACAGTGAGTGCGGTTGAAAGCAGTGGGATCTCTGAATGGCATTAAGCTTTCAACTTTGATTAGGTGACTTGCAGAAGATGAAGAGAAATCATTTAGAGGAGGATAAGTGTGTCAGGAGATAATGGCTCCACAGGTTGAGTATGGCGAAGGAACACTGGCTCTGACTGGAGCTGATGAAACACAGCAACAACCTGAGAAATCCAGGTGCGTGCATGTTTGCCTGTGTGTTTGCATGAAAACGGCATGCAAATATGTGTGAATCTGATGCACGAATGCAGCGCTTGTTTTATGTGTATGAGTGGTGTGTGCATGCATGTGCATATCTGCCTGCCAAAGATCTCACTTTCTTTGTGTTTCATGTCAGGCATCTCAGTCTCGGTGACAGCGTTTCACATTGAGGTGGCACGTCTTGGAAACTAAGAGGCTAAATATCTCCAGTAAATACTTTGTTGTAGCATATTTAGCCAAATTAATGTCAAAAATTAATTACAGATTGATCTCGCATGGGAAATTGTCAGCCTGTGAGCTCAGAAGAAGTCTCACACACGTACATTTCTGTTTAACCAGCACCTTATGCTTAGCCCAAAAACCAGTGTGAGGGACTGCGTGCATCACCTGGAGATTCAAATTCTAGCTGTGAAAGTACTAAATCCTTCAAAATGTCTTTTAAAACTTTACGAATGTTCTCTGTGCCCTGACCAAAACAAAACATGATGACAGGTGCCAGTTTACGACATCCCTCTCTTTATCTCTGAGTCTCCTCAATTTCCCCCGACAGAGAGAGAAAAGACAGAGAGAGGAGAGGGGGGGGGAGACGGAGCGCAGGGGACCTGAAGTGTGTTTAGGAGGAAGATGGCTGTCAGTAGCTGTCAATCGTCGGCTTTTTGATGCCATCGTCTCGGCACAGGCCTGTCTGTCTCACAGTGTAACAGCTATCAAAGACTCACTCACAGCAGAGACAGGCGCTAGGGTGGAAACACGAGGAAATCCACACATTCTCTCATTTACACCTGGCATATAAACTTTGTGAAATCTGGGTCTGTGAATCATGATGGAGCCGATCGTTCTCACCTGGCCTTGAAGCAATAAGCATCTTGAAGTGATGCGGCGGTCCCGTTAGTGCTTTGTATATGATTATTGGCAAATGTTTGTGAAGGGAATTCGACTACGATTCTCTGGTATTACATTTTATTTGGTTCATTTAACTGCTTTTATTTACATGGTACCACATTCTAATAATGCATTCCTAATAAAATGGTTACAACTAATGGTGTTATTAATGGCTAAAAATTATTTTATTACTGCTTTATAGATCAGTAGAAAACTACAGAACAACATTTATGTTGCCAGGTTGCAAAATCCTTTTGGTTCATGCTTATTCTCTTCTTCTTTTTAGGTCTTTAGTTTACCTCTCTTAAAAAGGAACACATTATGTAAGAGATATGGGGTTCTTTATGATCACTTCATAATCAGCCATCACATCTGCAGTTATAAATGTGAGTAAGGTATTGGTATAGTGGGCTTCTACTACAACAATTTGTTCATAATAGTTTAATCAAATTGTCCAAGAAACGTAAATGAAATTGAAATTAGTGCTAAAATGTGTGAATGTCCAATGTGTAGGATTTAGCAGCACGGTGGTGCAGTGGTTAGCATTGTCGCCTCACAGCAAGAGGGTTCCGGTTTGAACACAGGGTGGGCGAGCCCTTCTGTGTGGAGTTTGCATGTTGGAGTGTGTCAGTGTGGGTTTTTCTCCAGGTACTCCGGCTTCCTCCCACAGTCCAAAGACATGCAGGTTATCTGGTGACTCTAAATTGTCCGTAGGTGTGAATGTGAGTGTGAATGGTTGTCTGTCTCTATGTGTCAGCCCTGTGATAGTATGGTGACCTGTCCAGGGTGTACCCTGCCTCTCACCCAGTGTCAGCTGGAAAGGGCTCCAGCACAATCGCGACCCCTACCAGGATAAGCGGTTACGGAAAATGAACGAATGAATGAATGTATAAGATTTAGGGGGCTATATTGTCAGAAATGGAATATATTATAATAACTATTTTTCTTTAGTGTTTAAGCACCCAAAAATAAGAACTGTGATTTTGGTAACTTCGAAATTAGCTATTTATATCAACATCAGGAGCAATTCCTCATCTATGGTGTCTGCCATATTGCATCACCATGTTTCTACAGTAGCCAAGAATGGACAAACCAAACACTGGCTCTAGATAGGGCCATTTCCTTTTTCGCATGGGCCACCATAGTTAACAGCCCCTTCGGGACAAGCTGAACAGCACTGGATAAACACGGATTTCTCACACAAAACAGCTCTACTCAGTTTTTTTTTTACGGGTTTATATCATTATATGTTTGTTTAGGAGAGGAGGAGACCTCTGCGGATAATTCGGCTCCCGCTAAAAACCTCCTGAACGTCTGGATCGTAAGTTATCAGGACAAAAGTTGAGCACACATTAGCAGTTGCTAGGCTAGCAACCTTTCTGCAACAAGCTGAACAATGCTGCAGAAACGCTCATTTGTAACATGAGCTGCTTAAGCCAGTGCTTTTATTGGTTTTCACCAACTAGTCCGATTGTTTTGGAGGAGAACTTCCTGAACAATGAACACTGAAGAATCCTAAAAGAAGTTTCACCTGGTTGCAATCTGCAGTCCTCCCCACTAGATGCCACTAAATCCTACACACTGCTCCTTTAAAATTAATAATTGTTGTATAGGTATACAGTAATAGTATTTTTTTCCAAAGAGAGGTCAAAATAAGTTGTTATCAGAACCTTGTGGACATTAGTGGGGTAAACACATAAAATATCCATGGCCTCAAACATGATTGTAGTACAAACAATGGTTCTACTGATCTGCTTTGTTTGCTTCCCTTAGGTCAATTTTAGCATCATCCTGTGGTACACATTTGACTGGTTAGCCTTGTGTCCAGCACTTCAACAGAGGAAACATTTCAATAGAAAGCAGCGTATTTCCAAAGGTCGATACCATGATCGATTGGGCAGTGATCTATTAAAAGGAGGCCCCACGCTGGTTGCCTTTATTTTCTTATGATTGCCCGCTACAGAACATTTTGAAGAGCCTGAGTCGCTGTATGCTGCCTTGGTGATAACATCAATCTGTCCTGCTGTCCTTGGTGGACCGTCTGCTTTTCATCTTGTTCGAGACAGATCGCTTACATGGCCTACAGTTCCCACACCACACCTCTTTATTGGTCCAAGACAACATCAGGAATGACTGTGTCCAGATGACCAACTGGACGCAGACGGTGGAGGAGGAGCTGTCGGCCTCCCATGTGGGTTTGCTTCACTCTGTCCATTTGGCAGGTGCACATGCGGACAGATCGACAGTATGGCAGGATCCCCACTCAAGCACACAACTCAATC